CCTGCCTCTTCTTCTCCTCCTCCTCGTCGATCTCCCGCTGCGTCCTCTCCGGCTGCCGCTGCATCATCTGCTCCATCCTCGGCAGGGCGTCGGCCAGCGGCCCTGTATCGCCCCCCTCGGGCCGGCGAGCCCGGGAGCCACTCGGGCCGCAAAGCGGCTGCGGACATCGCGTGGGCGGACAACGGGTCCGCGCATCCGAGGATCGAGGATCGACATTCGAGAATCGAGATTCGAGGATCGAGATTCGGGGATCGAAGATCGAGGATCGAGATTCGAGAATCGAGATTCGAGGATCGAGATTCGAGGATCGAGATTCCGGGATCGAGGATCGAGGATCGAGATTCAAAGATCGAGATTCGAAGATCGAGGTTCGAGAATCGAGATTCGAGGATCGAGATTCGAGGATCGAGATTCGGGGATCGAGACTCGAGGATCGAGACTCGAGGATCGAGAGTCGAGAATCGAGACTCGAGGATCGAGACTTGAGGGGCTCTCGTGGGCGAACAGTAACACATCCGCACCCGCGGCCCCGCGGGCGCGGGGCGCGCTGCTTCGCGGGCACGGGGCGCGCTGCTCCGCGGCCAGCCCGCGCGGAGCGCAATTTCGTGCGGCCGCGCATCCATGGGATCGCGCCCCGGGAGCCAGGCCGCGAGGGCGCGGACGTGGATACGTTCGCCGCCCTCTCCCCCTCCTCCTCCTCCTCCTCCTCCTCCTCCTCCTCCTCCTCCTCCTTCTCCTCCTCCTCCTCCTCCTCCTCCCCCTCCTCCTCCTCCTCCTCCTCCACTCTCCTCCTCATACCTCCTCCTCCTCTCCTCCTCCTCCTCCTCCTCTTCCTCCTTCTCCTCCTCCTCCTCCTCCTCCTCCTCCTCCTCCTTCTCCACCCGCTACTCCTCCGCCCGTGAGGTACGAGGGTTGCTGGGCGGCCGCGGAGGACGACTGGCGGAACGAGTGCGGAAGGGAGGGGGGCCGAGGGGGCGGCGGACAAACGGTGTCGGACGCTCGCATGCGCGCGGGAGCGCGGTCCACCTTGGTGACGAAGCGGGGTTCGCCGTAGCGCGGAGCACGCAAGCTGGTCGGGAAATTCACCAGCGCTGCGACGTGAGCATGATACAAGATGGACGGGGGAGGCAGCAGGATGGGAATCAGACCAGGACGAAGGCAAGAAACGAGGAACGACGCCACGCGGAGCAAAACTGTACGCCAAGGCAGGCAGCCCGCGAAGAAGACGGATGGTGGGGGGGGGCTTTCTCAGACGGCAGGGGTATCCTTAGGCAGGCCGCGAGAGGCTCCCAGGGAGGCCTCCTGGAGGCTTGGAGGCCTCCTTAGCAGCCACCCGCCTCCTCAGAATCCCCCCCGCCATCTTCAGCAGAAGGAGAAACTTGCCGAAAAGAGCAAAAACTTTCGAAGGCCCGCCTGGATTCCCTGGTAGGAGGTGCTGATCCCCAGGTCCCAGGACGACGGGTCCTTCTGTGTGGAGCGCCGCAATTATGCCTGCCCGGCAGCAGCTCTCCGGAGGGGGGGGAGCGCGGCTGCCAATGCTGGCCTCGGCGAGACGACCCGAGCCCTCCGCGAGCCGCCGCCGAGGTCCGCGAGGCGACAGAACGCCCCCAGGAGATCCGTGACTATCATTGGATATGTCCGCGACTCGACGAAGGGCAGCTGGGAGCGTGGCAGTGGAAAAGGCTGCGGTGGGGGTGATCGGGGCGCCCAGGGGGATGGCTTGCCAGGCTGGCCGGGGCTGGCTCGGGCGGCCCGCCACGAATACGAGCGGGCGCGTCTGGGATGCCTCCAGACTCGAAGCCGGGCTGGCGAGGCGATGCGCAACGCGAGCGTCTGGGCGCGCACCAGGCGAGCGCCCTGGCCAGGGGCAGCAGCTCGAAGCGCGCGGGCCGCGCGAGGGGCGCGCGCGGAGCGGGCTTTCCGGCAACGGCGCTCGGCAACTCGCGATGTACGCCGTCAGCGAGCGGCCCGACCCCCCGAACGCCATGATGTGTTCGTGACGTGGGCCACCAGAGGTCTGGACCCCTTCCTGGGGACCGGCGTTTCATCCCGAGCCGTTGCGTGGACGGCCCGGAGGGCCGCCAGGGGCCCCCGGCATCCCCCGTCGTTCTGTTGACGGCCCAGAGGCCCGGCAGGAGCCCGCGGGAGGCCGAAAACCGCGACGAGACGACTGTCGTCGCGCTCCTTTCGTGCACCGAGCGGCGCGGCCGCGCTCGCAGCGCGATGCGCTCCAGGCGCGAGCGGGCAGGCGCGGGCAGCGTCCGCCCCGGCAGCGCCCGCAGCGCGAGTGTGGTGCCGTGCCTCGGCGAGAGCCTGGCCGCCGCGCGCCCGGCCGCCCGACGCACAGGCTGGGCAGAGGCCAGAGCGATGCAGCGACGGGGAGAGGCGCCCGCCTGTGCTCGCGAGCGCGGGGAGCGCGCCGGCAACGGCGCCTGCGCCGGGCCGCGCGCGGAACGGGAGCGGGCGCGCAGGGGGCGCCCGCAAGAGCGTCCTCTGGGGGGGTCGGCAGCGTCGGGGCGGAGCCGCTGCGCTCGAGGCTGGCGCGGGGTTGCCACGGCAAGCGAGCGAGATGGCCAGAGGCTCACGGGAGCACGCCGGGGAGGCGCACAGTAGGCGCGCGGGCGCGGGGGCCGCCAGATGGGGGAGCTGCGAGGCTGCGCCACGAGAGCCTGTGCCCTCGGGGGCGGCGGCGGTGTGCAGAAGACCGCTGGGACTTGGCGGTGACGCGTACACCGCCAGCCTCCCTGAGGTCCAGGAACAGGCCACGGGGAGAGGGTCTGTGTATACACCTGCGTGGTGGAGGCGCAGACGGCGAAGCCGCTCAGCGCAGGCTGGGCCAGGGCACGAAGAAGCCCTGCGCCCGCGCAGCCTGGCCCGAGGAGAGAGCCCGGGGCCGCCGCCTCCACGGGGTGGCCCGGCCGGCCCCAGCCGAGGCATGCCGCGAGCAGCGTCCGCGCAGACACCCGCAGCTCCGACGGCGTGGTATGTGCAGCGCGTGGCTCCCGCACCTCTCGACCCCTTTTGCAGGGAGACTGGCTTCTCATCCCCCATCGCTGTGCTGAGGGTCACGGGGCCCGAAAGCGGCCTGCAGGCGCCGTCAGTGTCTAGGAACGCCCGTCCTGGTTTTACTCAAGACGCTGGAAGTCTGGGAACACCGCGGCGGCATATTGCAGGTTCGCGCCGCGACGACGTGGGCTGTGGATCCTGGCACTGCATGGACCGTCCAACCTCGAACGACCTCGGCTCTCCCGCAGCCGATGCCGCCCATGAATTACTGGCCGATTCTGGGCCACTGGCGGCGTTCAGCCTTGAACGCCCGCCGCCGCCGCGTCACGCAGCGCGAACTTGCCGCAAGGCCCCAGCCCGTCCCTGGGCCCCCTGCGCACCGCGCGCCGCCAGCCGCGCACCCGCCGCCCCCCAGGCGCCCGCCGCAGCGCGCCCGCCGCTGCCGCCAGCGCCCCTCCGGCCAGCGGGCCGCGCGAGCCGCCGCGGCTGCGCCTGCCGTGCCTCGGGGCGGCGCGGGACTCTGCCGCCCTAAGCGCCCCCCGCGCGGCGCCGACGATGGGGCCGTGGCAGTGGCGGCCGCACGCGCCGTCGCCGCCCCGCCCCGATGCGCCGCCGCCGTCGCCAGGTTCCGCCGCTGCCGCCCCCGTCGTGTGATGCCGGTGCTCCCGTCTGCTGCCGTCTGCTGCCGTCTGCTGCCCAGGAGGCCGCCGATAGCTGCAGCTACCGACGAGGCTCTCGTCCTCTCTTCCTTCCCTCCCTTCCTCCTCCCAGCCACTGTATTCCTCTCTCTCTCTCTTTCTGTCTGTCTCTTTCTCTCTCTCTCTCTCTCTCTTTCTGTCTATCTCTCTCTTTTTCTGTTTCTCTCTCTCTCTCTCTCTCCCTCCCTCGCTCTCTCTTTCTCTCCCTCTCTCTCTCTCTCTCTTCTCTCTCTCTCTCTCTCTCTCTCTCTCTCTCTCTCTCTCTCTCTCTCTCTCTCTCTCTCTCTCTCTCTCTTTCTCCATATATATACATATCTATACATATATATATCGGTCCCATCACCCACATTTCAAAGCAAACACACACATGAAGAGGAGGAGGCGGAGGAGGAGAAGGAAGAGGGAGAGGGAGGCTCTATACATATAGAGAGAGTTCTCGAATGATGTGATGCATATATGTATATATATATATATATATATATACATATATGTGTGTGCTTCTTTCTCTCCCTGTGTCACTCTCTCTCTCTCTCTCTCTTTCTCTCTCTCTCTCTCTCTCTCTCTCTCGATTCCCCCTTTCCCACCCTTCCCCTGTCCCACCCCACATCCCTGCCTCCCTTCCCTCCTTCCATCCTTTGTCGCCTCAATCCCGCCTCCATCCCTCCTCCGTATGCTTTCATATGAATAACCGTCCTCATCTCACCCCTAAACGTGTTGGTAAGGCCGTTTGGGCGTTTCGCCTGAGACTTCCGCGCGTTTCATAATCTCGAAGCCAGAAACTCACAACGAGATCTGGGATGAAGGGGTGGATTTCAAAATGCGGTTCTTGCCTTAGCACCGCGCAAATTCGTATTACAAGTCTGCAACAGCTTCAAGGATGAACAGGGACCATTCTCAAAATGGAGTAATCGCCCTAGCGCCGCGCACACCCGCCTAAAAAATCATTGAAATTGGGATATCACCTTGGAGCCGCACGCATTCGTCAAGTTCGCAACAACTTGAATCATGGAGGTGGCTCTTTTTCACAATTCGATGTTCCCCTGGGCGCCACGCACATTCGTCGCAAAAACCTGAGACAATTACGGGGATTGTGGGCGGATCCTCTTCAAGATCGAACTGTCGCTTAGGATTTGTGAATTCCACGGACCAAGAACTTGAGCAGGTGGAACAGCTGCAGGGAGAAAGGGCGGTGTTGTTTCAAACACTTGGCCTGTGGGTGGGAGCTCTTCACATTTGCGCATTTGTGCTCGATCACCAGCGACTGCGAACGCCAACGCGGTCGAGAGCCAGCGGGCCGCGCCGGGCCACGGCACACGAAACAAGAGGAAAACAATAAGTTTGAGAATTGGATTTCGAACCCCTTCCTCCTCCTCCTCCTCCTCCTCCTCCTCCTCCTCCTCCTCCTCCTCCTCCTCCTCCTCCTCCTCCTCCTCCTCCTCCTCCTCCTCCTCGA